TTAAATGCAGATGCACTCCCTGCAGCAGCCCCTGCGTCCTTACGTCGTGAATCTATGGTATATATTACCAGTCGGCACCCTCGGGGAGGGTTCAGTGGGGGATTTCCGCCAACCCTATCAAGCACTAACGATTAAAGAAATTTGGGCTCTTTGTACTTATTTTCAAAAATGCAAAATCAAAATGTTTGTGTACACTATTGTTTTTACAACATAACTACAAAGAGTTGTCTTTTGTCATTTTAAAGCGAATGATACACAAAACTGGTTTCATCTTCATCTTCGTGATCAACATTTCACACCTTTTAATAAAGTATCAGATTGGAGACAATACAAGACGCTACCCAAAATGAAGCCCATGTTGATGCCAATATTTAACTATTGCGTGGCAATTATGATAAAGATTCTACCGAAGATAACCATAACAAACATGAAAATGAAATTAAGATTGATAGAGACGATCGAATAGGTGAAAATATTATGGATTTTATTGTTGATGGTACTATTCCAGTTTACACAAATTATCGTAAACACAGCACAAGTCATATTGATTTTTATAAAGAGATTACGAGTAATTCACTTGGTCATTCTTGTATTATTTGCGACAAACTATAGTGGAAAAGAGGCTTGAAAATGTCGACCAGTAAACATGAAAGTTCATTTTATATTTTTCTTTTCCCCGAGAATACCGTTCATGCAGATTAGTAGATTGAGACACGTTAATGGTCAGTACGGTATTTATGGCCAGATAATTAATGTTCCTGTCGAAATTAACACAATACAGAAACAATTGCCAAGAAACATTCAATATGACCATTTCTTTTATGCGTATTTGAAAGAGAAGTTGGTTCACAAAACTTGGTATGACCTCGGGCTTATTAATAAGAGCCATATTAAAGAGTAGTTGTCGTATTTCGTTTCTACGCTTCTTTATATTTATCATGGCATTAAAATCGATTAATCTTTTTTAACGGCAATGAATGTACTTCGCAATTGAATCTTTTCCGACAATCTACGGCGGTCAGTTTCGAATATACAGAGATGTTGTTATTGTTAGTTATTGTTACTCCATCCATGCAAACTACCAGCGAACTTCGGCGTACTGATAGGCGTGCTACTGACCCACAACACATTTAATACATCTCTGCTAAAATCATGATGTTGCGAGTTAGTAGATGTGTCAACGTTGCGTTTAAGCATGTTGGCCAAGGTACTTCATTTACGAAAGGGACCATTCAATCTTAAGAATATATAAATATTTGTTTAGAAACAAATCTCTAATTTCTTCGCGGCATACCAAATTCTGCTTGGTTTTGGTCAGATCGCAAAAAAGACCTTTTTGAAAATGCCGTAACCTGTGCTATTTATTTTAATAAAATGGTAAATTGTCTGATAAAAGTTTTTCAATAAAGAAAAGAAGTCCATTCGGAAAATATAGAGTAGTACATTATTTCAAAAGAATAGAATTTCAACATCGTGGTAGACCACATGATCATATTCTTCTTTGGTTGGAAAATGTTCCTTAAGATTTATTAAGCAATGATCCTGAAGTAATTAAATTAATCGACGAATTAGTTTCTGTGTCAGCGTCAGCGGCGTCTGGAAATATAAAACTAGTAACATACATTCACGTATTATAAAAAAATGAATCCTAATAAAAAGGAAGAATGTAGATTTGGTGCACCATTTATGCCAACGAACAAAAACTATTAATTTGATACCTATAAAAAAATGAGTGTTGACATACTTCAGTCTGTCAAAATGCCGGCAGAAGAAGCTGCTTAGTACTTATTAAGATAACCTATGGCCAATTTATCGGTGGTGACAGTCTACATTCCAACGGTATTTCCTACTGAACGCGCTGGAATTAGAAAATCTATAAAGGAACTTGAAGCTTTAGATGATGATTGTACGAACGTTTGGAAAGAGAATTGGTCTCGAACCATGATTATGTATGGTATGAGAAAAGACCTGAAGAACTCCGCGATGTTACGTTGGCACAATTTGTTGCAAAATGTTACCTAAATAAAAAAAGGACACTGAAAGAGATACTGCAAGAATAATAAGATACAGGAACGACGATTTGGCTAATTACAAAAATTATAGGCGTGAGATGGTTCTGTTGCATGCTCCTTTTCAAATTGAAGAAAATGATATTATTGCTGAAAATAAGTTCATTCAAATATACGAGGACAACAAAGATCCTACAGTAAAACGTAGAAAAGAATTTGAATCATTGAGTAAACTTTAGAAATTTGTAGGCAGTTGTGTCGAGAAAACGATGAAGAACAAGAAGACGAAGAATTATTAAGAGCGGTTGATATATTGCATGAAAGAGATAATTATGACTTATTGCTTCGTGATCCAAACTCAACTGCTAACGTTGATGTACAAAATACATCTCTGCATAAACTTAGCGTTATAGCTAAAAAAAAAGAGAAAATTTAATGGGTTATCAACAATTTTATGATTTAATGCGAATGGCCAATGATCAAAATAGATATATTATAATGGCTATAATTCATCATTTACAAACTTCAATTCAAGAAGCATTTCAAATTTTTTTTACGGGACCAGCTGGTTTGGGAGAATCATTCGTTATCAAACTGATTATGGAAATGTACAACATGTTCACTGACAATGATGGTTACTGCAATGCCCATATTACATGTTCTTCAATCGGCAAAGCTGCCGTGGCTATTTATGGTACAACTGTTCATGCAGCTCTCAAAATTTCTCTTTCAAAACTTTTGCTTCTGTCATCAGAAACGTTGCAATTGAGTAGATCTCTCTTCAGATATAATCGTCTAAAACAAATACCAGGAAAAAACACAGATTTCCGAAGTATAGATGTTATTTCGATCGGAGATTTACGGCCACCAGTAAGATCGACACATTAAAATTTTATCAAAGTTTTGACAAAAATAGGTAATGGAGATGTACTAGATAAGCATGAGTTTCAACTTATTGAATCGAGATTTTTCAAATAAGGGGATTTTGCTACAGTTAGTCTTGATGGAGTTCGTTTATTTGAGCAAGAGCTAATTTTAGACTTAAATTACATAAAAAATCTGTTATCGACACTGGAGGACTGCCTTATCACATTACTAAGTGCTAAAAGTACTGGGCAAGAAGCCATTCTCATTGAATTACGAACAGCAATAGTTTCATTAACATCGGATAGAAAATACATAGATAAACGCAAACATTTTCCATTAACTTCAGCCCTTGCTCTAACTATACATAAGTCGCAAAGTGCAGCTAATATTATGAATCCGAATATTAAAATATGTATTGCACCGTTAGCTATGTTAGGCGCTCATTTGTTGCAGATATTTGTGCACGCTTATGCAAATTTAGAAATGGCCTACACATAGTCATGGTAACAATCTACATTTCTCCGAATCCAAAATTGAACTAGGTAGAGCATTTTCGCACTTTACTGGAGTACACTGAAGAAGGGTCGAAAATACTTGGAACAAATGATAATGAATTTCCACTTATCTTGGCTAACGATTTCAACATCAACTTCGCTAATAAAACATCAACAACTTTTCTTTCGGAAAAACTTAATTTGAAAATGAATAATGATCCACAAGAATCCCCAACAATATATGGGACCACCATTGACGCGGTATTTTCCAGAAATTTATAGAATATCAAGTCTCAAACTTTTGTTGTTTTTTTTTAGTTCCCATAAACCTATAGTTTGAATGATAAAAATTCCTGAATAACCTACAAAATATTTTAAACAATATTAACTTCTTTTTATTCAATAAAAGAAACAAATTTGTTTTCTTATCGGCCACCATGCTCAAAAAGTGTAACATGAATTAATATCAAAGAAAAAACTTTAATTAAATTTAAAAAAAATATATACTGCATAAATAAAATAAGTAATTATAATTGCACAAGTTGATAAAAAAATTCAATGCATTTACCGCGGCACTCCCTGAGTGCTACACATACTTCTTATGTTTTGCGCATAACAAATGTCACAACAGCTAGTTTGCATCTTTATAGAAATCAATTTAAAAAAAGCATGTTTACATTTTATAATTATTTTCATGAGGTTGGCCAAGAGTTGGCGTAACTTGATCATTATTCCATTGTTCCATTGTTCAGAACATGATTCGCTACTGTTTTTGTGCGTTTTTATGCTCTCGCAACTTGTTGCTACAGAGTATAATAGTTTTGCTCACCTAACGGTTCTTTGTGTCACCTAAAACTAATCGAGTTAGATATAGGGTTATATATATATAAATGATCAGGATGAAGAGACGAGTTGAAATCCGGGTGACTGTCTGTCCGTCCGTCCGTTCAAGCTGTAACAAGACTGTTATTTGGTACAAAGGATCACATTAGGGAGGGGAATCTTGAAATTTTTTTTCAAGTGGGCGTGGTCCCTCCCCCTAATAAGTTTAATGTGCATATCTCCTATACCACTGAAGCTATAAGAACAAAATTCACTGGGAACAAATTTTTTTAGCATCTCTATCGACGGTGTGAAAATGGGTGAAATCGGGTGACAACCCCGCCCACTCCCCGTATAACAGTACTGTTAAAAACTACTATCATAATCATACATATCGAATAATACGTTTAAAGTATGCCTCCTTGTGACCAAAAATTATGTAAATTGAACCAAAACTGTTCAAGCCCCTAGGTACTGAATATGCGGGCCCAGTGCCTGTAGTTGACTTTTTACCGAAAATATCAGTCAACATAGAACAAGGCGGCAAGATCCACAAAGAAATCTAAAACGAGTATACCATTTGACTTTGCGAGAGTATAAAATGTTCGGTTACATCCGAACTTAGCCCTTCCTTACTTGTTTTCAATATATTTCATTCATTTGAAGTGCAAACAAAAAATATTATTTTTTTTACTTAAATCCTTATACTTATATATAAAAATCTTCTGTACGTATGTTTGTAATTGAACTCCCTTCTAAACAGCTGAATCGATTCTGATGAAATTTTTTGTGTGTATTCAAGGTGGTTTGAGAATGGTTTAGACTCACAATTCGATCAACTAGATAATGTTTTAACAATGAATTTATTTATTTATAAATTGATGTTGATGTTAGAATATTTTACATAGAATTTCGGCAGACTCCGCTGAAGTCGTGTCAGATATTCAAAAGTATATTTATGTTTACGATATAATTATACAAGCCATACATGGCTACGTGAACAAGCTATTTTAGCAGCGAAAAATGTAGATGTCGACACTATCAATTTCAAAAGACTATCCACTATTTTGAGTGGAAAATCTCAAGGTGAAGTTGTACTTTTGCCACGGATTCCAGTGATTCCTTCGGATTCGCCGATACCATTTGAACGTTTACAATTTCCCATCTGCTTTTCATTTGCGATGACTATTAATAAGGCACAAGATCAAAAAATGACGATTTGTAAATTAGATTTAGAAAATCCGTGCTTTTCTTCTTAACTTATACGTTGTGCCCTCGAGAGTAGAAAAACCATCGACTTTATATACTTTATTTATACCTCTCAAGGATTAACCAAAAATATTGTACATCCTATGGCATTACGATAACTTCAGTTTTTGTGTGATAGTTAAAAATAAAGGATCGGCTTTAGTATACCGTCCCAGGCTTTCGGGGATAAAATAGGTATGGGCGGATAGAGGACATCCTCCAGATCAAGATATAGATATAGCCGCAGGAAACTTATAGTTTTCGAAATATTTACGTTTAAAGTTGAAAATTTTAAGGAGTTCTGCGCAAAAAAACCTTGATACACCCCGGTGTTGGACCGACCAGAGTTATTTTTTTAAGGCACGGCCGAAGGCCGCCAACGCAAGAAGAAGTTGTGCGCGAAAAATATTTTGATACACCCCGGGGTTGGACCGACCAGGGTTATTTTTTTGAAGCGCGACCGAAGGCCGCCAACGCAAAAAGAAGTTCTGCGCAAAAGAACCTCGATACACCCCGGTGTTGGACCGACCAGGGTAATTTTTTTGAAGGGCGGCCGAAGGCCGCAAACGCAAACAGGAGTTCTACGCGAAAAGACCTTGTTACATCCCGGCGTTGAACCGACCAGGGTTATTTTTTTTTGAAGCGCAGCCGAAGGCCGCCAACGCAAACAGAAGTTTTACAAAAAAAAGTAATATTGTCATAGAGGGTATAACGTAATACTTAACATCAATGCTCTGTAATAGTTTATTTCTCTAGGTTTTGGATTCCTGTATTTGGGGTATTATCTGTTTTAATTTCTTTCAGTTCAATTACAAAAGATGTCGATAAGGTAACACTGGTTATTTGACATTTTGCAACCCTTTTGTTATTGTCAGAATTAATAGAATTTAACAATATAATTATTGAATTAAACTATTTTCGCACTGTGTATTGTAAAATAAATGTGTTCAAACGAATTAGTGAAGTGTTAGTGGATATAAAAGTGGAAAATATAAGTGTATAATTCATTTGAAATTGAAAAAATGCGTACTTTAAATAGTTGAAATTTTCAACTTTAAACGTAAATAACTCGAAAACTATAAGTTTCCCGCCCATACCCATTTTATCCCCGAAAGCCTGGGACGGTATACTAAAGTTTTCCCAAAATAAATACCCGTTATAGAATAGTTTAAGGTTCAACCTTGTTACCTTCAATTAAAACGACTTCAAGTTTTCATTCAATACAGCTTCTACATATAACATCTCTGAAAGCATACTCACACGCTATTGGTCGAATTGTGATAAATATATGTATATGAATGACGTTAGATATTGTTATAATTTTCTAATGAAAATTTTCATCAAAACGGTCTAATTGTTCCAGCTAATTTCAAAAACTTTACAATTAAGTCGTGGGACAACGTCTGTTGGGTCCGCTAGTAATAAATAATATTATAATATAATTCGTGTGCAATTATTTTCGTTTTTATTTATTCCGTTCATGACAGAAATTATACTTTTCATGTTCTTGTCTCCTCCAGCATTTTATTATTTAAGTAAGAAGCAAGTAAAACATGTATATAGTACTCATGTAGTTGATTTCATTCATTCATTCATCTACAAGTAACCAATCCTGAGACTTTCACAAACACACGCAAAAATGGTCCACTTCGTACGGGTTGCCTCAAAAAATGAAAATTTCAACTTAATTGTAATTAAGGCCTCCTGGGGAACTGAACACCCAAAATACATCGGTAACGCGCCTATATTACAACCTCAGACGTGGTGAAGAAAAGCAATAAATATATAATAACCTTTTGTTTTGAAAATATTCTTGAAAGTATTTATTAATATTGTCCATTATAAATGCTGATTCTTCAGTTACTTGTAGGCTTATACAATGGTTAATTTACAGATCTTAATGTACATCTAATTTTGTAGAAAAGTAGCAAAATCATTTTATTTGACTAAGGATTTTTTAATGCGACTGTCACACTTTCAATATTTTTTGTGATATTAGAATCGTGATCCATATTGAGGATTGATGAATAGCGAGTGAATGCTACACGCTCAATACTTATCGCGCCAGATTTGTAATAAACCATATCTTTGATAGAAAGAGTTTAAACAAAGGTTTCCCTTCATCATTTGTTTAATTTTTCGTTTGTTAATAAATTTAACGAAAAGCTTAGAGTAAAATATACTAAGAACCATGAAAAATTCACCAGATCTTTGAAAATGCTAAAATTTGCACATAAATATAAATAAACAATAATTTTTTTTTTAAAACACACGTTTTGAATTTTTTTCAATGCTTTTTTCCAAATGTGCTTAACATTCAATATGTATCGCAGGATTCACAATCCCACAATCGCAATCCATCAATATTGAATACTAAACGTTCAAAAATTTCGTAATCCGTTATGGCGGTCAACATATACAGAACGCATAGTAGTCGCCAATGACAGAGCATGGTCCGCTTGACAATAAATATATGTACGTCGAGTTATAATACAATATATAGTACATATCATAAAGTATTTATAAGCAAACAATAAAATCCTGTGATCTCTAACGGCCTTGGAGATGGTCAAATAATTCCATCAATGCTTCACTGACTTATTGTCATTAAAAGTTTTTAATATTTTAATTTGACGGCTGCTAATTTGAAGGTCTTCACTCATGTTTGAGAAGCAAAACCTAATTTGCATAGTGAAAGTTGAAAGATGAACAAGTTGCGGACGAAACCAAAAAATTATTATACATTGTCTTGTTGGGAAGATGTTAAAACTCAATGAACTCTTAATTATTTAAAATCTTTAATTTATGAATAATATTTGGCGTAATAGCTTCTCGCATTACTGTGTATTGTTTTGTATTGGTGGCTTAACCACATTTAAAAGTTCATTGAAGGTTTATGAATCCGTTCGCGAAAAGCTATGATAATCTCTTTCGCTTAATAATTTCAATTCGTCTAATAGATTTTTATGTCTAAACTGTTTTTGTACTCTTTGTTTTTTTTTTTCTTCTTTTTTCCGGTAGGTAGATTTACGTAAGCCTGTCCATTAAACTACTGCACCGTAGAACAAAATTTGGAGCAAAGGTCGTTCAAGCATCCAAAAAAGGAGCAACGGTCGTTCAAGCATCGTTTTATTCTGCTTTTATCCTTCTAGAGATCAACAGGCTTCTGTCTCAACGTTGTATACTAGTAACTATATTTAATTAAAGCAATTACGATTTACAAACACATACAACCAAAAAACGTATATAGGCAGATTTGAATTGACTTATCGTCTAAACTATTAAAACTTTTGAGTTGCATCCAAAAGTGTGAAAAAGTCCGTTTTAATAATTGAAATATCTTTGAAAAAATAAAGCTTTTGCAATATGTTTAGAAATCTAAAATGACTCCATATTTAAAATTGCACCAAATTTGGTATAAGTCCAAGAAGTATATATGCCCATTTTTCCTGAAGACTTACCTCATTCTCATTTCTGCTTCTGACTTTGCGCTCTCGTAAGGTCTGAACTCTGAGGAGGATGCGGCTGCCTTTTTTTGACGTTAACAAACAACCAATCCCTAACCGCTAAAGCAAAATGCTTCCGGTCGCAGAACCTACCATTTAAATGAAGTTTAGCTGCTGACGGAGGCAAATTAAATATTTATCTTTCAGTGGGTAGACTTCCTTACACCATACAAATTGAAGACCACTAGATCCAAAGAAATTAAATTTAGACTCATCTGTAATAGTTACAGAATCCCAAAATTTATTGTCACGGTGGATATACTATATTTCTCTTCGATATGTTTAGATGGTTTCGTGGTGTTTACACTCTAAAATTAGGTGAAACCGAGATGTTATTAAGAGATTGAGGGTGGCTTTTTGCAATGCCAGCTTCCTCCAACTGCTTGGCGATAGCGACATCGGATATTTTGGGGTGTTTTTTGATTTTCCGATGAACTTTATTTTAAGACTGGTGCGATCGAATTTTTTGGACCTTTCACTACCATTAAGTCTTTCAACTTCAGCAGTCTTGAATTTAGCAATAATGTACCAAAAAGTAGTATGTGGTTTTTTGACAGTATTGCCTATTTCGCAAGTACTTTTTTCCCCTGACATTATTTGAATAACAGAGCCTGCAAATCTTGAAATGTCTGTTTGTTTATCTTTTTTTTTTTGCAAACCTACAACATCATAAAAGAAATTTGCTTACCAAATACAGTTCCACTTATCATACGCAAATAATATCAGACAATTATAACGGTACCTACTGGATAAATACATTTAATGTGTTGCCAACGTATGTTGTTTTTTGGTCGTTCAAAAGTGAGATATTTTAATTTTTTGCAACAGTTAACATCAAATTTCATTCAGCACTAAAATACATAAGATTTGCACATTGTTACCCTTGGTTGCAACTTAATAGCTGAAATGAGAAAAGACAATTTAAAGTCAAAACATTCCTCTGTACAGGTGATGCTATTTGCAGCAGTACGCCACTTCTCAAAAAAAGTACGATCCTTCGTAGTGTGGTGAAAATTAAATTTCAATGTGATCTTTTAGTACCGAAACATATTGTTCTTAAAATAAAAAAAATTATCCTTTGTATGTAAGTAAACGTGTTCGACTAGCGGTTTGTTTTATCTTCCGTTTAAACTGCTCGAATATCAAAAAGTGAAACTGCTAGAGTGTCCAACCAATGAAAACGTTCCATTAACCCTTTTGGCTGCAGATGATATGGTGAAATTCGTATATGCTTGACAACTAGAATCCAAGTTTTGACTAAAATTGTTGTCTTGGGCAGATACTAATTTGTTTAGTACTCCATACCGAGCGATCCTGTGGGCGACTAGTGCTCTTGAAATATTAATGAAAACCTGTGTAATCTGGCATATTATATAATATACAGCATCCTCCAGCTTATTTTAAGACATATTCATAAGTCAAAATTACCACTATTTTGCAATGGAATCTTAATGGATACTGGGACAATTACATCTACATTCTATTACATTTACATCTACTTATAAAAGACAATAACCCTAGCATTGTATGCATTGTTTCGTTGCAAGACACTCATTTGCCCTTCAATAGCAACCCCACGCCTACGTAGCATACTTTCACAATCATACGCTAAGTACAAGAAATAAGCAAGGCAGAAGTGTATACATTAAAAAAGGGATTACCCACAACAAACTAAATGTAGCATCATCTAGCATTTCCATATACCCCAAGCAAAAAACGTTACCCGTAAACCATCTGTACCTTGGTGGAATAAGAACATTTCACTACTTAGGAGCAAAAAGCAGCAGGTTTGGGCGGAATTCAAAAAACACCGCACCGAAAGCAATTTGATGCTTCAAAAAAAAAGGACCGTCACTTTAGCAGAGGACGGTTTCCACCTGCTTCCTCCCTCGTCCTTAGTTGGGTTGTTGTTTTATTCATTGTAATTGGGTCCCGACTCAGAACCGCTATTCACCTCCCGGAAAGGTAGTCACCTCTTATGGTCTCAAGGTTGTCTCAGTTACGAGGCCAAGGCGAGGATTAACGCACGCCCTTATGAGGGAATACATTCAGGGCACACCAACTTAATCATGACAGGAGGGGAATGAACTCCGAGTCCTGCTGTTGTTTTAACGGGACAGAGGCGACCTTATCATTAGCGCATCAGTCATTTCTGCAGGGTATCACATCTGCATACTCAAATAGTCCAAACTGTGTCCGAATCGAGCAAAGGTCAAATCCGCAGAACGCCTAAAAGGTCGCAGGTCATTTAGAGTTACCCAGGATACCGCGTGGTGGCGAACCTCGTCTACATTCCATTACAGAACATAACATAACAGTCTTTTTGACTTTGATGTTTATGTTTCGGGCATAACAAATGTCAATATCTTACGTTTTTGAGATGGCATGTTTGAAACAATGGCTAGTTTGCATCATTCTAGAAGTGAAGCTAAAAATAAATTAATTTAGAAAATAAGTATAGTTTTAAAAAACTAAATAAAGCTTTTAAACCACTTCAAGCTTAAAAGAGAAAAAATAATTTCTTATATAAACTGACAGGAATATTGCCCGAAATATATTTGTACTATTGTAAGAAAAGTGTGATGTGCTTTATATACGAAAAATATGGCACAAACTATTCCACGCTTTTCTCACAATGCGGGGTTATGCCCACCTTTAAAATAATGGGAAACTGTTATCAAATTATTGCATTGTCATCGGTCCTTGACACGTTTGCAAAGTTTGAAGTTGATCAGACTTCGGGAAACCTATGAAAATTGAGCTCTAAGATTCCATTACATACATACAACCCAAGCGTATTAAATTATAATCATTTTCATGCGGTTTGTCAAGAGTTGTGTAAAAATAAAATGCTTAGTTAAGGGAAATATTAGAATAATTAATCAATATATATAAAAATTAAACCCGTTTCCCGTTGTCACGCCATAACTTGAGAACGGCTAGACCGATTTGGCTTTTTTTTTGTGGTTTTCTAATACTCTGTAGAAGGTTCTTACGGAAAAAAATATTAAGAAACTGTCTCAGAAATATTGAAAAAATACATCTAATTTGCATATTTTAAAAAACGCGCGTAACGAATGTCATTCACAGCCATAGACTATATTGAAAGAGCATCGTTTGTTCGTGTTTGTTATATCGCACTAATTTACTTATATTTGAAAATTACTCGCCACAATTAAATGTACCGACTTTGACGGTAATATTAATAATACCAGTGTTTATTTCATTTTAATGTAAGTATTTAATAATAATAAAATATGTATACTATGTGTTAGATTTCAAAACGCAGTATACAAATTTCGCATAACCTATTAAGTAATCTGTGCTAATCTGACACACATAACCTAACATAGCGCTAACAATAATTTTATTAAGTTTTTGATAAAGTTTGTTTTGTTTTAAAGATTAAGAAGTTTGTTGTTTGCTAATAAGTGTTTGTTAATCACGGTAAGTACGCAGCTTAATATCGATTTTTGGTAACTTTTGATGACTACACAATATTAAAATTTGGTATACACGGTTAAACAGAAAATATAAGAGAGTAATTTTTTATTTTCAGTTGGATTTTCGTTTTTAAAAATGTCACCAAGCAGACGTACAAACTTAGGCCGCATAAAACGAAATACTGCAAGTCAAAGATATACTGATGAGCAACGTGAAGCTCGAAATGAAGAGTTAGCTACAATATTTTTAACTTATTAACGGCTTAACCGATTTGGCTTTAAATTGATGAGGGGATAGCATAAAATTTTAAATAATTCGCTACTGTTTTTAATATGAATGAAAACGTGAATTATCTAGATATATTCGGAATGACATCAGTTAATCTTTGGATGAAAATTATTTCAATTCACCTCAATTATGCAACGGTACAACTTCGAAAATCAAAAAGATTACAATAAATACTATTGTAGCAATTATTTTGACTGAAAAATTTAATGGAGAAATGGTTCTCTTACCACGTTTTCCAACTGTCAGAACGTACGATACAAATAGAGCTTAATTAATTGAATTTGAAAATGTTTATAATTAAAAACTATAAATATTACTGTTAAAAATTAAGAACGATCAACCTCTTTCATTATTTCAAACGTTATCTACTAACTTTGAAAATTACAAATTTTTTTCATACTTGAATATAAAATTAAAAAATCAACATATTATATTTTATGTTTATTTGTGTTTAATAACAAATCGAAGGAAATTAGTATTAATCATTTTCAACTTTTGGAAGTGATCTGCTTGGTTATTCTTTCACTGGAATTAACGTTTTCGTTTTATTTCATATGTACAATTTTACTGCATTGAATAGTATGTAATTAATGTATACCTTAGCCACAGCAACGCGTGGACGGGGTCCTCTAGTTTTGAATGCGCACCTTGTAATTTAAAACAAATTTACCATGGCAAAATCAAACGGAAAACAATTCATTCGTGTTACTAAATATTTAGAGCTCTTCTCATTTGTATACACAATTTTCGATTTAGAAGTTGTAGACATATTTTTAATCTACACGCGCCCACATTATATTAATATTTTTGAGTTATATTTGGATTGACATATTAACATCCTCAATCCGAAATACCATTTAAGCGATAGTAAACCCATATATGTATAACTTTGGCCGGTAATGCACCTATAATACAAAACATAGTTTTGAAATGTTTCAAAATATTTCATTTACAAATAATTAAAATTATGTTTACGTAAACTTTCTATGATAACGCGAATTAATCTTACAGCTGAAAGCCTTGTCGCTAGTGCTGTTATATTTTATAGGTAGTATAATTATTTATTATTGTATTTCCTTTAATAAATAAATAAAAATAAATAAATCTATTCGATTCTGTAGTGGAACTTCAATGTAAAATGTATAAAACCACTTTTACAGTGAACATTACTTCCTTGATAACAGCCAATAACCAATGCCACTTAAACCAAACTGTCCAGAATACCAATAGAGGCGAACC